CCTCTTGACAAAGGCCAAATGGTCGAGAAATATCAATGAATTTTTTTAGAGTTTTCTGCCTCACTGGTTCAGCAGCAACCATAAGAAAGACAACTGAAGACAGATCATAAGCATGGTTCTTTACTTTATCAGATTCTAACCTTCTAATTACCAGTTCAAATGCGAAATTAGGAGCTGCACTGTGAGTTGCCTGATAGTCACTCATGGTTTGAAGCCACAGAAGAGGATTCCTGATAAATGTCATTGGTGAGAAAAGAATTGAAGATCCACCACTGACTAGAGCAGTAAAAAGGCCACCTATAAGCCCCATGTCATGATACTGAGGAAGCCAACTAACCAAAATAGTTCTTGAGGTGCTCCTATATTTTCTTCTCATTGTTTTGACATTATGAATTAACCCTCCATGAGTTATCATCACCCCCTTTGGATCACCAGTCGAACCTGATGTGAATTGCAGAAAGCATATATCATCTGGTTGAGACTCAGAGCTTATGGCTTCAGATTCCAAGTCTTTCAGTTTCCTAGACTGACTTCTATACTTCTTGATCAATGAATCTGTATAGATCCATGGAAGGTCAGGCCAAAAAGCTGAAGATCTCGAATTGCTATTTGTCAATGATATCACATTCATCACAAAGCCTGTTCTAACAGCTCTGTGGTATGAAGATGTGGATAGAATTGCTACAGTGTTGCACAATTTAGAAATGTTATGAATCTTGAGAAGTGCTTGTCCACCTCTCTTTAGTGGATCAGGAGGCAAAAGAGGAACTGGTATGATTTTTGCTTTGAGGCACCCAAAAAAGGCATCAATAAATTCCAGACCAGGGAGGTAGACTAAAAGAACCCGGTCACCTGGCTTGAAAGTTGGTTTCTTGCTTGTTAACAGATTTTGAGCAATATGACATGCATTGGCATGGAGTTCACTGTAGGTTCTCTGGTCCACAACTTGACCTTCCTCAGTAATCCAAGTATAGAGAGTTTTACTAACGGTGACTGGATGAGTTCCCCAGAAGCTCAAATAACTATCTAGGGAAGGCAGATCTGGAAATTCTACGCCTGCAAGTTCATCAAGTTCTCTCTGAAAATATGGCTCTTGACTAGAAACTAGAGGAAACAATCTCTGCAACAAATGAACTCACTGTATAAGATGACCATTTAACATATAAATTAAAGGAAAAATATCTTGACATCAATCTAGCAGTCTCTCAAGATTTTCACTGTCAAGGAAACCAGTTTAAATTACCTTAACATATGGAATCAATGGCATCTCACCACGTCTGGCAAAGTAATTACAGACCAATGCCATGGCATAAGATGAGTTTCGTTCTGTTAGTTCAAAAGCCATCAGCCCTCCCAAATAATAAGTATTCTGAAAACCTTGAAGTTGTGTTTCCAACTTCTCAAAGAAGCCATTTTTCATCTCTGTAAAAGAACTCACAAAATTAAAGTTGTGAAAGAGAAAGGAGCATGGAAATAATTAAAGATGACTAACGAATTGGACCTTCACTATCAACGTGAGGGAAGTATTTGAACCGGCGCTGCAATACCACCTTTTCGATGATTCCTCCCATGGTCCTCACAACATTAATCAGAAGGCTGGTCACAGTTGGACTCCTGATATTACTGGAGTTTCCATAAGACCAAAATAGGAAAATATTTGTATCAGCAAAGAATCTTTGCATTGCTACAGGATGTCCAATAGTTGCAGGATCCTCCATAAATTCCCCGAAGTAATAAAAACCAACAGATATATGCTCAAATCCTTTGATCTTGAGAACGGTGGTGTAGTAATCTATTGTTCGCACCTTACAGAATAGCTGCTTCTCGAGATCATTCAAATCTACCACCTCATTTTCCCCGGCTGTAGAACAGAGAGATATTAGTCAAAAATTAAATGTGTGGCATGAAGGAATAATGCCAAGCTGTTGCAAAGCTACTTACTTGTTAGGAATGAAGACCTGTATGTCCTTCCATTCTTGAATGTCAAATTACCTGAAAAGATAATTTTATCAAACTTCATAAGTTTTTGCTCATCATCAGCATTCTTGACGGTTACTCTGACACCTGAAATATTTCGCTTGACCATCAAAACCTCGGTGTTACACAGGACTTCAAAGGGTAGAGACAGGCTAAGTTTTTGCCACATGCTCATGTATCCTCCTTTAAAACGCCGAATCTTTCCAGCCATGGAAGTCCTAGTGAACTCTTGAATATAAGCATATGGCATGTCTTGAACAAAACCATAACCAGATGCAGTATAACCATATGCTACTGATTTAGGCAAAGAACTCAGGCCGTGCAACTTCAGAAAATCAAGAGTTGAATCAGATGCAATGCCACTCAATGCATGAATTCCAATATGACCGGACCTTGTTGCTTCATCCTGTAAGAAAAGTAAAGTTCTCTGTCACAATAATGTTTTAATGATTTCAAAATGGGAACAAAATGCGAAGAAGCTGTTTAACTTGTAATTTCAATGTCATGGAGATCAGAGAAGCATAATCATCAGCCACTTTCATGTCTTCGAATTTCCCACTACGGCTATCAATAAAAGCAAGCTTGTGTGAGTCCATTTCTTCAAATTCTGCACCTACTTCCTTTGCCAAATGAGATATAACAGGGGCACTGTTTGCAGCAATAACTTGACCTCCCAGATCGTAAATTTTTCCTGAACATTAGCAACTAAACAATTACTCTTTTTTTTTTTTCTGCTAATCAAAAGAAGCATATGGAAAACCAATCTGCTACAGAAAAAACATGTCAGTCCAACATCCTCCACCTTCAATATCAACTGATTCACACATTCCAGCAACTGATTGACACTTCTCGAATATGGTCACGTTACCATATCCAAGCTTCGCCAGGGCATAGGCAGCTGATAATCCACTTGGCCCAGCTCCCACGATAGCAATTCTTGTCTGCACAGGAAAGCATGGATGCAACTTGGACAGTTGATCTTCAATACATATTGTAGTATCCATCCTCTGATCTCCAGCAGCAGTTCCTGCTTGAGATTAAATTCAAGGATGAGAAACACTATTTCACAAATAATGAGAAGAAAATATAATTCTTTCATGTAAGCATTATTAGGATAAGAATCTAAGCATAAGTGACAACTTGCAAGTATCAGAATAAGAAACAACCTCTAGGTCAAGTTAAGAACTCGATGAATTTATCCATTTCCTAAATCCAAATGTCAAACACCGATTTGGAGAAAGCTTTCAAAGCTCAAGGGAAGATCACCTACTAGAAGTATTTAATCCTTTCATAGGACTGCATAATATCCAAAGGCATGGTAGAAGATCTTGAACCTTGCTAACAAGAACAGCATTTTTGCAGACTATCTAACAAATTTGTTTTAAACATAAAATATTCTAGACTAGAAGAGCAACTGATCTAAAAACAAGCATACTTAAGTTTGTGACTCAACAGAAGTAGTGCCAACTATGGAAGGACCATAAGCTAGAGAAAAGACACCAGTGATTTTAGCATTCAACAGATTCAGTTATGTCTAGGACATTCAAATATGACAGCCAGTCAGTGAATTGACTTTACCTTGGAAAATCAATGGAAATAAACCATAAAAAAAAAATCTGTACCCCTTCCTATTTAACAACCATAACAAATCGAAACCTTTTATGAACAGACACATATAAGCTAATGACCAAGATTTGGGAATGAATAAGCCCCAAAATAAACATAAACTTTCAGATATGAGAGAGCCAACACATAGAATATCACTTCCTCAATTGTTCAAGAAAGACAACAAAAGTTGCACCCGATCGCTTCTGATCACATGTTCACGAACAACTAGGTATGCGTAAAAATCACTGCAGTACAGATGCCCCAACTAATTGATAAAAATCACCATCAGAAACAAGAGATAAAAAAAGAATAGATCCATAATCAAGCAATTGCCCACACCTGCTGTCTTGGACAGGATTCACCACCAGAAGGCAGAGTGGCACTCCGCCCGTAGCCGCCCTGCCACATTGTAAGACGCAGGTCTTCATGCCGGAATTTAAACCAAGAAGATGCCATCCCCCTCCAAACGAGACATGACAAAATGGACACGAGGCGAATCAAAGTAGTTACCAGAGGGAAGCTTGGGTATTGATGTTCCCTCAGATTACTACGTTTGGAGGTTAGAAAGAACACCTTCACGTAATACGACTGCAGAAAATAATAAAATAAAGAAAGGGAACAAGACAAAACCCTAGCTTTCCGCTACACAGATATTCCAAGGAATCAAAAACTTTGGATTCCTCAGACCTCGCCAACTCCGCAGCAGAGAGATTTTGATATCCTGGCGCAGCAGGAGGCGGGCACAAGTTTACAATTAAAGAAAGAAAAGGGAACTTTCTTCTCCGATCAATCGACAGAAATGCACATTCCCCAATCAATCTATAGAAGTTCTATCCTGAAGGCGAGGAATCGGAAGAAAAAGGGAGATGATCCTTGGTCTGCAAACCTTTTTTCTATCGGATCGATCTGAACTAAAGTTCGAGGGGGGGAAGGCGGATTTTACCATGATTAGATCGATAGAATAAGAGTTGAAGGAACGAACTCGGAAGAAGAATTGAAGGCACGACACGATGGAAGCACTCCCACGACGATTGACGATCCCATTCCTTCGGTCTTGTGATCAACTTGTCGAATTCTGTGACATTTTAGCAAGGAGCAATCAATCTGTAACGGTCACCCGTTTCGTATTCTTAACCTCCGATCGATGCGACCACCGAGCGGGCAAGCGAACCGGATAACAAGTCTTTTTAGTTCGGTCCAAAATTCAGATATATACCTATAAATTTATACCTTTATATATATATATATATATATATATATATATAGTTAAGTTAAACTAATATGTGGAAGATTTTAATATTGAAATGGAAGATATATATTATGCAAAAAAGAAAAAATATTTAATTTCCATGAATGTATGACTGGAAAAGGCAACAAGTGTAGCTATGACTGGAAGATAAAAATGCACAATTAGGTGACTTCAACATTGCCAAAGCTATATTAGCAAACACACATCACACCATACTAATGCTGCTTCTTAGTAACATAAGCTTCATATAATAGTTGAGAGGCATAAGATCTTTAGAACTAGAACTAGGCAATATGAAAGCTTTGGTTCGTGATGCTCCATCCAATCCTCATGATTAGGTTCCTTTGACATGAATTGATTATAGAGTCTACAGTTACCAATGCATGCGAAGACCTGAATGGCCATATGCGCTACCCAAACTGTGGTCGAGACACTGTCCATTTTCCTGCAGACCAAACTCTGCCTGACCTGAAAAATGAGCATCAACTGTCGCGGTTGCTTCCACTGTTTCACGCAGGACCTTGTGTGAGCTAGTCCTGCCTCCATGATCTCTGACCCCCCATAAGCTGGTAACGTAATTGCTAGGGATGACTGAATCGACCGTTCCGGGGCTGTCGAAGATGCTGGTTGCTGGGATTACCGGAGCACCATTCCTGGCAGAGCTGCTACTCCATGGATGTGTTGACAGAAGAGAGAGAGCACAGCTTGAGTCGGAGACGCCTGCAAGACATTCACCTTTTGGAATTTCCATGGTAGAGCATAAGGTTCCTGCTGCAGGTCCTTGAGAGCACCTATGGGTACCATGCAGTGCCACGGCACCAGGTGAAGCATCCAAGCCCCTGTGCCACTCATTAGTGGCCACCCCGTCACCAGCAGTTGCAGTTGGATTTCTTCGACTACTTGAGAGATTTGGGTAACTGAAGTCCATCAGAAAGCTTCTGAATCCACTAGGTTGTTCTGTGAAACAAAACATATTATTAGCATATTAGAAGGGTACAGGTATAATAATGTGAATTCCGCCACAGTGAGTTGCTTATGACCATGGAAGGATGATGCAAAGCGGCCATACGGCCCAGGAGGTGGCTTCCTTCTGCGTTCATTATGTCCTGCCAAACGTCTGCGACAACTGCGCTTTCCTTGGTCAAATTCAGGTAATTGATGAAACCTGTAATTCAGTAGCCACGGTAATGAAAAAGCAAATGTTATTTAAAGAGTTAAATTTCTCAGAAAACAAACTGCAAAATAAGAAAAAAATATTTACCATCCAAAACAATGTTTTTAGAGTCAGAATGAGCATAATACTGCCTATCGTAATCAGCATCATCACTGTTTTCCAGGCTTTCTACCAAAATGGGTAGGCCATAAAGCACAACTCACATCAAAATGCTTCATGGGGCTTCTGTGAGAATTCCACTACTTGCTTTCAACCTCATGTCAGACCTCTCGAATGTAATTAATCAGAAAGGAAGATGTACTTCATTTATTATATGATAAATAATGAAGAAGATTCTCTCTCTCATTGTCACTGATAGTTAGAAGCACACTTGATATGAATTTGATCAATGAGATAATGCCCGTTAATAACACAAAAGTGTCTTCTTGGTTCCCAAAGTAGGATGTGTAATCAATCCTATCTGCCTATTGAATGCAACCTTGTCACAGAAATTGAAACTCAGAAAGCACCTGAGACAGTCATGACATTAATGTGATGACAGGCTCATGGTAAAGAATCAACAAACTGATCATTCCTATAATGTACGTACCTCATGCACTAAAACTGACAACATTAGTACAAATTTCTACTTAGTGGACATTATTATTACAGGGAAATTATTGTTCTCGTCAATATCAGCAACTTCGATAATTTTGGCTGTTTTAGTCAAATAGCAACAATAGTTCCAATCTCCTTAAGTTCATGTCTGCCATTTCACTTGTAAAAGTCATGAAAAATTATAGAAATCATGTTTTGGTCAATTTGATCCATCACGCCAATCCATTTCGGTCTATAAATCATATTCCACCAATCAATTTCAGCCAAAAAAATTGGAAATGCACAATCCTGACCAGAACTGAATTCAGATGGAATTTCTTATCACAATATGCCATTCCAAACCGTCTTGTCTGATTGGATTAGAGCCATCTGTAATACAAAATCCTTGTCAATCATACACAAACAAGAATTGTAAATAGGTTACTGTCAAAGTTTCCAAGTCATGTTCAATTAGGGTTTCAAATGTATTTGTGCAAATTCATTTGTATGAGGAGAAGATAATGGACTCCTCATAAATACCAAATGCAATTAGGAATAAGTTAGTGGATACAAGACTTCATAAACATCATTTGGATAATATTTACCATTAGTTTTCTTGTAGAAATCATTGAACATATTATGGTCTTTGAATCACATTGAGAAACGTTGTCAATAGTATTTTAAACACTAACTCATTCCATTCATTACATAACAATCATACAATATGCTTACAGCAGGAATCGAAATTCTGATCTCGTAACTGCAAAACTGACCCTAACCACTCAGACGTCTCCTTGGAGACCCATGGAATACTAAATATTTCTTGATAGAACTTCTTAGTAGTAGACACAAAAATTACAAAAAAGAAAAAAAAGCAGGTGAATTTGTTTTCAAAACTCTACAAATCAAAGTGTGAAGCGTAAGGGGGGCGGTCCGACCGTATGTGCTTGCTTTTAGCAGTTAGATTTAACCCGAACCAACGATTTCAATAGGCGCTCAGGCGAGGCGAGGCGGGGCCCGAGCGCCTCGCTTCATTTCCAGGCGACGTGCTTCAAAGAGGTGCAGCTTGGGTGCTCGCCCGAGCCCAGGTGCCGAGCGCTTCGGGCCAACGCTTGGGTTAAACCAGGCGAATGAACCAGCGTTTTAGGTTTGGTTCGGTCTCCGGTGCTTTAGTTGGTTCAATCGAACCTTGCTCATCGCTCCCGCTCCCGATGCCACAGCTCGTTGCTATTGCTGCCGCTGCCACTGTCGCCGCTCCCCACTCCCGCTATTGTTGCTCGCTGCTACGGCTGCCACTACCACTATCGCTGCTCGCCACTCCTGCTGCCATTGCCATTGTTGTCGCTCGCCGCTCCCGCTACTGTTGCTTGCTACTTGTCGTCGCTCACCGCTCCCGCTGCTTGCTATTACCGCTACCGCTGCTACTGTCGTCGTTCGCCGCTCCTGCTCCCGCTGCCACTGCTCGCTGCTACCGTTGTTGCTACCACTACTACTGCTCTCAGTTAGTAGCTTTGGTCTTCCTCTTACTCACACTCTTCTCACTTCGATAGTATACTGTTAACAGTATATTAATAGTATACTACTAACTGTACACTAGTAACAATATTTTTATTTATTAGATTAATAATATATTATTTTAATTTTAATACTGTCAATTTTTATTTATTTGAAATTATTGTTAGGTTTCAGGATAAATAACAAGTGTACAGAGCAACTCAATAAATTCTCCAATGACATCAAAAAAGGATCCTGCATGGAAGTATAATTATCTAAAGGATCCGAAAGATCATAATGTAGTGACTTACATATTTTGCGATAAGACTATTAGATGTGATATTTTTTGTGCAAAACAACATCTAGTAAGAAATTTCAAGAATGCAGCAGCTTGCAAAAAGTGTCCACCTAAAGTAAAAGAAGAGTTGCTAAGTTATATGAATGAAAAGAAGACGCAAAATAATGAATCTTACGGGAATTTACCAGAAGATAATGTTGAACATATCAAGGATGAAGAAGAAGATTATTCTATCAGTATTAACCCAAGTGAGAAAAAAATATACTACAAAAAAGGAAAAGAAGTTATGAGTACTAAGAAGGGTAAAAAATGACCGATGGATCTATAAATGTTTTAAGGATCATAGAAGCAACAAAGGCAAGCAGAAGGCTCAAAATTTAGGCAAACAAATATAAGTGATGCTTGTGATAAAGAAATAAGAGGAAGAACAATTCAGCACATTGCTCGCTTCTTCTATCAGGCTGATCTTCCCCTTAGTACAACTCATTTAGACAGTTTTAATGAAATGATTAAAGCTATTGGAAGATATGGTGTAAGATTAAAACCTCCAAGTTATTATGAGTTGTGAGTTCCATTGTTGCAAAAAGAGTTGAATTATACAAATAACTTATTAAAATGTCATAAAGAATCATGGGCAACACATGGTTGCTCTAATATGTCATATGCTTAGACTGACAGAAGAAGCAGGAGTATAATTAATTTTATGGTTAACTGTTCTTTAGGGATTATGTTTGTGAAGTCAATAGATACTTCATCTTTTGTAAAATCTGGAGACAAGATATATAATTTACTTGACAAGTTCATGGAAGAAATTGAAGAACAAAATGTCATTAAAGTCATAACCGACAATGGAAGCAACTATGTATTAGCTGATAATATTCATCTTTTGAATTTTTGAATTCTTAATTACTTTATCTTCAATGAAATATGTAAAACTCTTAAGTCTTATCATTTTTGTTATCCTTCTCTCAAGTAAATTACTTGAAACAAAAAGACAACACTTATATTGGACTCCATGTGTAGCACATTGTATTGATTTAATGTTAGAGGATATTGGAAAGATCTTAAACATCAAAACAACTTTAGAAAGGACAATTTTTATTGTTGGGTTTATTTATAATCATATTGGGGCTTTGAATATGATGAGAGAATTCACAAGCAATAAAGAATTAGTGAGATATGGTGTCACCTGATTCGTTACTTCATTCCTAATATTATAGAGCGTGCATCGTCAAAAATATAATCTGAGAAACATGTTTATCTTTGAGAAATGGGTGACAAACAAATGAGCAAAAGAAACAAGAGACAAGAGAGCAACTGATATCGTCTTAATGTCATCCTTTTGAAATCATGTAGTTTATACATTAAAGGTAATGACCCTCTTGTTCGAGTCATTCAGTTGGTGGATAATGAAAATAAACCTGCAATAAGATATATTTATGAGGTTACAGATAGAGCAAAGGAGACGATTAAAAGGTCTTTTAATGAAAATGAAAAAAAATATAAGAAAATTTTTACAATCGTTGACAAAAGATGGAATTGTCAACTTCATCGTACCTTACATACAGTAGGATATTATTTGAACCTTGAATTCTTTTATAAGATTAAATCTGTAGGGTTTGATGTAGAAGTTTTGGATGGGTTATATCAATGACAGTTCGATCCAAGACAACTACGTCTCCAGGTATTAATAATTTGATATAATTAATTTCATCTATAGTATGTTACTATGTTATTGCTAATAATAACATAAATTTTGCAGCTGAATGGTGGAGTCTATTTAGAAATTCCACCCCGAACTTACAGCAATTTGCTATCAAAGTACTTAGTTTAACTTGCAGTGCTTCGGGTTGTGAGTGAAACTAGAGTATCGTTGAGTATGTAAGGATCACTAAATATTTTTATTTTAATTAATTAATTTATTTAGATAGATATATTAATATATTTTTAAATTATATGACATGATAGATTCGCTCAAAGAGAAGAAATAGGTTGAAACATCAACAATTACATGATCTTGTTTACATAAAGTATAATCAAACTTCGAAGGCTCGTCATGATTTAAGAAATAGAATTGATCCAATCTCATTACAAGATATTGATGATTCAAATGAGTGGTTGGTGGGAGAAATGGGTGCCAACTTGCAAGATGCCGAAGACGAGTTTGCATTTAAATATGATAAATTGACATGGGAGATATGACAAGAGCTTTAGGTACCGGAGAATTACAAATATATACAAGATAGATGACAAAGAAAAAAATGAGTGCAAAAACATCAAGCTCGACTCGTGCAATTGTTGAAGACATAGAGAATGAAACATATTTTGATGAAGAGGAAGGACCAGAGGAAAAGGACGAATTCAATGAAGATGATTTATGTGAAAATAACGATAATATTGATTATGATGAATGACTTTGATATAAAATTTTATTGTTTTGAATTTTGAGACTTTTTCTTAATGTGACATTGTGATTTTGTACCTTAGATTTTCTTAATTTAATAACATATTTTTATTTAAATAATTATATTATATATTTTTATATTTTAGCGTCTCGTTTCATTCGGGCGAGCACCTAGTGCCTTGGGCATTTTTGGACTTTGGCGTCTTTTGACGCCTAACGTTTTTTAAATCACTGACCCGAACTATTAATAAAATCATTAAATCAAGCTAAGAAGATAATCACACTATGAATTGTCCATTCTAGAAACACCTATCATACAACTTTTCCTTTAAATCAACAGCTGGCTGCCGAACTCTCACACAAGAACTCATAATATTCTTCTATGGAGTATTATGGATCATGTCCGTAACAGCAAGAAATGAAATGGATTTCAAGCTACATTTTGAGTTTCTAAACTAACAACTCAAGCACAGAGCAACAGATGTTGATGAAATCAGCAAACAAATACTGAGTCATGATATTTTGCAGAGACAAATATAGAGGTTGTTTCCCAAAATAATAAAAATCGAGAGAATATTTCTGAAGCTTAATTTTCCGAAGAAGATGGCGGTCATAATTACGAAACATGGAACTCTCAGATCCAAAGATATCGCAAAGGATATAAACCCAGTAGTTGTACACATCAAACAAATATCAAAAGATGAAGAAAATTACAAAAGACCAACCTGTATAAATGATATTAAACGCGCTCGCAAAGTTCGTCCAGCATTCAACCCAACAAAATCACTTATTCACTATCTAATAAACGATATTATCAAATGGGGATGACCTCTTTTACAAACAACAGCATGTTCCTCACTATGATCATTTTTGTTTTTTTTTTGCTTTTTACACAAGGCATAATATTACCTTAAACAAAGCCTATAGATAAATAAAATAGATTAGTAAATCCCATTCCTACACAAGAAGACCATAAAACAGGACTCTTTATTAGCATTCACAGGCAGCATGGTTTAGCTCACAAATCAAGAACAACAACAACATCTATTTCACAAATTTCTATACTCAAAACCAGATTCGGAAGGGGGCGTACCAAAAGAAAGAGAAGAATAATAATATTGGCTTTAGGGAAAGAGAAGGCCTACGAGAACTCAAAGAACAAACTAAGAAGCAAACTTTACCTGCTACACTGCTGACAGAACCTCTGCTCCAAGCCTGCAACCATAACCTTAGGTGCCTTGGAGTGCATCGCACAAACTTTGTGCCTACAGTAGTATGCCTTAGCGCCCGTCAGATCGACATTACACCCCTCCACCTGGCACCTAGGTGGTTGGTGCTGACCTCCCTGCGCCACCCCCTTCCCCTTCTTCGTCGGAGGCGGTGGCGTGGCCGCCTCCGTCAACGGAGCCGACGGTGTCTCGGAGGAGCTCCCACTCCCGCCGCTGCCACCATCAAAGTAGATCTTTCGCCCAAACTTGAGCCCATGGGGAGGATCACTGGAGCTACTCGAGGTCGCAGAGGCCTTGAAAGAGCTCGAGTCCATCTTCACAGTTGCAACCCTCTCTACAGCCCATCCATGGACTCAGAGACCAGGAGGCGGCCTAAAAAGGGGAGTTGGTTTCTCCAAGGAAGAGCGGGCCCTGACGGCGGGGGCAAGTGGGCTAGAAGAAGGGGCTTTTGTGTCTTTCTGCTGCCTCACAAAGCTGACACTGCCACATTGAGCTATTTCATTTGCGGCATAACACCATCAGTCTGGAAAGCATTCAGGCCAAGAGATCGTGCTTGGGGATACCTCTGTACTACAACAGCTAGAGGATGAACGATGACGACGGTCCTTCTTTGGTGCCCTCTGAATAGGATTTCCTCTTTCTAATAAAGACCTTCATCTTGTACAGTTCCTTGTGACATGGAGTTGGGGACATTCTGCTTTCTTAAGATATATACATTTATGTATCTGTGTGTGCATGTCACGGAAAAGCAACTTTTGGTGTATCCATCATCAGTTTTTTGCTTTTGCTTTGATGGAAGAAGACGTGCTTCCTTTTCCGCTTCTTTCTTTCCTCTGCTACTGAGTCGTGCGACTGAAGAATCTCACTGGGGGAGAATCTTCTTGGAAGGAGCTTTGGATTTGATGGGAGGGCCCTCCTGGGTCTTCATCCCTGGCTTCTTGGGAACCGACTGCAAATATAGGAAACTGTCTTAATGGATGCATTAATTTGAGGATGAGGGAATTAAACTCAAGAAATCACGCAGATGGAGGCTTGCTTCTGTCAGAACTGAGCAACTATTTGATGGATTCAAGGCTTGTGCAGATCTTTCTTCGTTTAATAAACATCGGACAGTATCCTCCTCAATGGAACTGGGCTGGCTTGCCGACACAGTTGATTCATTTTATTCAGTGTTGTGTGTTTTTGGGCATGAGAGACTTGAGATGTGTTCACGGAACTCCGGAGGAAACCTACTGTCTTAGTGAAAATGGCTGTTAGTATGTCGCAGAAGAATCAGAATCAGGCGATGAGGAAGAAAGAATTCCAAATCTTCATCGTTGCAAGAGATTATATTAGATCGGTGGAATTCTTTCTTTTGTATTTTTGTTGGTGATTGTTAGAAACTTTTTCTCGGTCTCTTCTTCTCTTAGGTTGTGATTGCAAGCATCATAGAAAAACGTACGAGCCTAAAAGTTGGAGTGAAAGTCTCATATGGGGGGAGACCAAAGATTTTGACGTTACACCGCCGACCACTTTGGCCCCCTTGGCCGCCTCCTCCTATTGTCGTCCATTTCGTATCGGAGGAACTTTAGGTGTCGTCAGTCGAGACGTGAAGGGCCGTACCAAAAATATGTGCAGAATAATGGCCCATTTGTGGGTTAAGTCAACTCAACTTGGTTAGCTGGATCGGAAGCTTATGGCCATCAACTTTGTCTCCCACCTCTTCTACTTTGCTTGGCTGTGATCCGAGTTTACTGTAAATGATGCTTGCACAAGTATGCAGCATGAGCCAACTTTGGGGGTATCCTATGAGAACTCTTCTCTCTCTCTCTCTCTCTCTCTCTCTCTCTCTCTCTGAGGTCGAGCAAAACACAAACCTCTTCCTTTTTCTCTTCAGCCTTGGATCTTCAAGCTTGACATATTTATCAGGATGAATAAGAGAGGACGAGGGATTGCAGACCCCAAAGCAACGAGAATTCCCAGAGACAGGATCGCACAGAAGACATGGATGATATGGATGTCAGATAGATCACATGTTATCCCGAGGCGGAAAAGCTGAAGGCAGCAACTTCTTCATCTGACATAACCTTATTTGCTTTGTGATCAAGATCGTCCGTGTGATATAATTTGTGTTGCCTCTTGCATCTGTCAAAAGGAGAGGAAGTGTAGGATGCATCAGAAGAAACCTGCGCAAGGTAATCCCAACTCCAGCACTTGACTCTTCTCATCTCTTCTACCACAAGGGACCAAATTTATGACACGATGAGACATAGCTCAAGATATCTAGTTATTATGTTCCAAGTACAGTAGAGACTTGGTCTACCTAAATCCTCCTCCTGCCCCTAACTTTTGAGTGTTGTTGTTTGAAACCACGCAACAGAGAATTAAATGCAAACCATGTGCATGTAAGTGGTCTCAAAAACACTAGTACATCAACGAACAATGATGACACATTTCTCTCTCTAGCAAGAAACTTTAATGGCCCTTGTCTGGCTGAACTTGTGAGCAGAAAGAAAGGCTGTCAAAATTCAAAGAGTACATGTGATGTGCACCGGTTCAGCAATCCACTACCGAGTTAGGTCGAATGTGCTGGAGTTGAGGTTTCTTCTACTAGTGCGCTCCATTTGCAATGGATCCATCCGCAAGTCTCCTAATGGTATAAATCTCCTAGAAAGATTTCATGGACTGATGTAATGAGGTCAGTGTGGAACAGAGGAGGACGGCAGACCACATTATAGTAGCACTTTGCACATCTTTCTGGGTAGATTGCAGTTGTGGACCAACAACGCCCCTGCGTCGCATGGTGTCCTGTCTCTCTTTCACATCTCTACAGCTGCAAATTCTCAATAACCATGCTATCGACGAACACAAAAACTGGAGCAGGATGAAGTTAACGATGGTCTCATCCGATCATGGAGCAATAGTTGTGATGAGGCACATCCAGGGTTGAAATCTCCGGAGCCTTGGATTGCTGTGCATTTGCCCACTGGCATCCTGCCGTGCTTGACCCTTGTGGCACGGCACAGGAAGTCAGATGGATCCTCGTGCCAAAGATAACAATTCACCAAGCAACAAACTACTCCAGCTTCAAGAAAGGTGCAAAGAATCCAAAAGGCATCGTAGCCTGGATATGTTCTCTGCTTGATCAACAGAAGATGATCTACCTAAATTACCCGTCCCAGGGTAACTTCTCTCGTGTTTTCATCTTTGCAACAAATCAAACATCCATGCCAGAAGCTGGGGCTACAACATGGGGTTATCAAATACCCTCTGTAAAATCACCTAGGATCGACTTAAGATATGTTCTGGAAGTCGGTCTTGATGAACCAAACAGGAGCTTCATATGTCAGCGCCTGAAACGTGAAAATTCAACACAAACAATTTGCAGGGATGGAGACCTCAAATGCAAAAAAGTCAACACAGAACTATGTAAAACAAAACAAAAAACTACATCAAACTAATGTTTCTACTGATGTTGTCTGCAGATCACGATTAAGGATAAGATCAGAGAACACTAGAAGAAACTACAACCGAGTCTGAGCTCAAAGGGACATCGGAAATGATGGTCCAGCAGGGCATCATCACAATTGATTTCATGGGAATTTTTTCACCTTTCAGTCCCATGTACACCAGAAAAGGAAAATGCCCCATGGGTCAGTACCTGATGGATATTCGTCTCTTGATACTAAGCCAGTTTCTAATTTCATGGTATTCCCAGAAGCAAAAAGGAGTAATTAGTGATTCTTTTTAACTTTTATGCATTAAAATTTCACCTCAAAGTACCTTTGTATATATTTTCGTATATGGTATGTACTAGTGGTTCAAAAAACAGTTTAGTTTTGCTCTCAGTGTGCAGTTCTAAAAGTAATAGGAAAAGAAACAATTCATATCATTCGGATTCAGTTTATTTCCTATTGCCTCTTAAATGCAACTTATTATTGGCAAAACAGATAAATAATTCAACAGATGAGTGTCCTTCCTCAACTTCTGTATATTTTTGCACATATACAACTGAGTAATAGTTTATCTGTGTACCATTATCACCAAACAGATCAAATTTTCAGTGCAATCCTTCATCATATTTTATATTATCATGTAGCTTTACTAAATTCCACAGCATTTGCTTTTGTCTATTAGTATCCTTTAAATATATTGACAGTGCAATCCTTCAGATTGTCTGCTCCCCTATCCTTTGTAGACCATCAAGAGTAAACTGATAATAATTTATAAACTCCTTGCATGTCGAAAGCCAGTACCTTAATTTCATGCACTCTAGGATATACATGAATGTGAAGAAGAATGCAGCCAAAAGTCTGGCTTCAATATGATTCTTTATGTAAATTTCAAGTAATTCTACATATGCAGAAATCTGTCCTCGGAAAACATAACTGAAAATAGCAAGACCCGTCGGTACATCGTAAGTCAGAGATGACGATGTCATAGAAAATGAAAAGGCCTAGGAACTCTAATATGAACAAAGGTTTATACTTGTTCATTATTTTCATAATGATGGACACATTCAATCTGCTCCTGTCAAAGTATCTTAGCAAGAAAATTATCAATCTCTAGAAAATGTAGTAGCTACAAGAGTCCGCAGACAGTTTACTTGGTATAATTAGGGCCTATTCCCTGCCTTATGCAGGAGATCTGTAGAACTCTAGGCTCTCAGAAAAGGCTGACTCGGACAATAGAAACTAGGATGGAGAAGTCATTTTAACTGTGGTTTCGTTTCTTGATATCTGTAAACAGGTACCAATAAAATCAGAATGACAAACTTGAAAACTAAGAAGAATACGAGTATTAGCATTAAAAATCAGAATCTCGGACCCTTGGCAGCAGAAAGGCAGGTCCAAGTTCAACTTAATTAGGCAGGACTGAATTTCTCTGCTTCCATTAATTTATATCAATGAGGATTTTTTTTTGGCATATATTCATGCAAATTCTAAACTCTGTTATAATGCAACTTGTTTATGATAACTCATTGGATCAGGTTGAAATCAAAGATTGATCAAGGGTGACAAAGTCCAAATTAGAACTCGAATTTCATTTTCACATGCCAAGTATCAGATAAACTATCATGACAAAAGTAGTTAAAAAGTAGCCACCTAGCATATCATGTATGAAAGTGAAAAAGGTGCAAATTTGAGATAAACACATGGAGTTTTCTTCACCTAGACAGTTGACTTTGTTACTCATACTGTTGTACCGTCTGAAGCATTAGAAACTACAGTTATGAGGATATCCTATCTAAACAAAACAAGCTTTCTACTACGTACAGGCTAGTCTTTCAATTATAACTCATCCGTTCCTTACCTTGTTTGCAGCTAGCAACAGTGCCATGAGAAGACTTTTTGTTGATCTTGTTTCAAAATTTTAGTTCAAGAATGGCGTTTTCTGTTCCTATATAATACAAGAAAAAAATCATCTCATACAACTACAATTGAAGGACGACATGGACTGAAGCACAGATCAAACAAGTCACTGAATCACTTTCCAAGTATCTCGCTGGTATTCAGACCTTAAGTAATTGTGTTCAGAATCAAAGTTTTCCCAGCTACATCATCACAACAAATGCTGAAGTGAGTGATTTATCCTAAAGAATCACAAATCTAAATAGGAATGAGAATTCAAGCATATCTAGATCACTTTTCTTATTGAATATACGCATTAAGTAATATTTACAATGAGGTTAAATAATCTAACAAACTAATGCCTAGAAGCCAAAGTAGACTACTAACTGTGTCACAATAACCCAAAGGACAAATTAAGGGACTGCAAAGTACATAACCTACTAAGAAAAGCATATAAAATCTTTGTTGTCAGCAAGATATAAAAAGATGAATGATCTCTTTTGGGGAAAAAGAAAAAAGTATGGCCTTGATAGTCCTTCCATGTTTCTCAATTGTATATGCAACATGACCAATCATGATAGAACTAATATCAATGTTCTACTGGGGCAAATCCCCAAAACTTAACAGATACATGTGTAAAACTAGAGCATGTAGTACACAAATAACCACCTTGTACTTCTTACAGTGGACAAACAGACACAAGTAGGAAATGTCCAAAGAGCGCACAGGGAATCCATCTTTAATGCAAATTTCACTGCCCAATAATACAAACATACAGTGACAAGACATATCCAAGTATAAATCTAATGCTTGGAACCAAAATTTCCAGAAACGTAATGCAATCAAAATTTTCATTAAGAAATTAAGTTACAGTAGAAACAGATAAGGGAAAGGCTGACATCTAGAAATCCCCCATATATCTAGCATATGCATAAAATGCCATGTATGTAAACCAAGAAGCTGAAAGGTATCCCACGAAAATACTGAAAACATTGCATGATAAAAAAATAAAATAAAATCGCATGTAAAAGAAGCTTTATGTTCAGAACTCTCGTCAAAGAGAAACTAAAATTAACCTAAAGTTCTTTAGTGATCATAGATGGTCACAAAATATATCTAGTCCCTTAGCCTCTGGTTAATTCATGAGCAAGATAAGAATTGAAACAAAAGAAAGACAGGCAACTAAAACAAAAGAAGTGCACCATAAAGGATCTCAACCGTCAGCAATGTCTCACAATGGAATGATAGAAACACAACAAAATCAGTTTCTCACTTGCACTCAACTCCAGCTTCAGCAGCCCGACGAGGCTTGCTCTTCCGCCGGCTCCCACTATGCCGAAAACCATTGGACCTTGTTAAATCCTCGTTTCTGGATTTTGATCCAACACCATTTTCCTCTATGATCGCATCAGAGTTCTCTTTTGCTTTTGAATATCTCTTTCGTTTCTTCCCAACCGCCACTGTTGAACCCTTAAGCTCTTTGTTTGGTGCAGTAAGCTTCATATCATCTTTCCCTTCTACCGTTTCAGTGTCATCTACATCAATGTCATCCTTCAACGGCTTCTGAGGCCTTCCTCTTCTCTTATATACAGGAAGCACCTCTTGATCACCACTCCCTGGGTCCTCGTTACCAGTGGCCACTGCCAATTTCTTCCCCTTTCCTCTGCCTCGACCCATTAAACCCAAACAAGCAATTAAAACAACTCAGATGATTATCTATGCTGCAAAAGGGGAAAAAAAAAGATTTAAGGGGAAATCAGCTTAAATCCTAGAAGAATTATATTGTTGTCGTTATATCTACAATAGCCATTAATAACCGAACTGCAATCTCTGCACCTTTAAGCTGTTATGCTACAATTTCCAGTAAGAAACCACCAATTGCAAGATGCAGCAGAGAGGACATTAGCCAGGATAAACCTAATTACCAATACGGCATACAGAAGAACTCAGATCAAGCATCAAAAAGTCATATGAAGAAGCATCAAAGAGGTGAAATATGCAATGAAAATAAGAAATCCCAAGTAAGAAACTAGATCAGAGACTTGATTGGGTGAAGAAGCAGCCAAGGAACTCAAGATGGACTCAGAAATTTCAAGAAAAATAATTAAATTAGTAAACTGGGTGATAATAACGATAAAGCCGTGTTGATGACCATCAGAAACCAGAAATTAGACGACCATATCGTATGCAGAACAAAGAAAGACTGCTCTTTTCGGAGAAGTACGATCCTCGTCGACTCCACCACACGAGAGTTTCATCTGCGGATAGGAACATGCAGCTCCCAAAGAAGCACTTCCACAAGCCGCAGAGCAAAAGAAAAGATGAATCAATTTTCAAGAAACATCTCGGATGTTCACCATCGAAGTATGCCAAATCCTTTCCGTCTCATAAGCTGAAATCAGAGCGCGCTCTTGAACCCCTAAAGTTGTAGTCTAACATCAAGCATAAAGGGAAAGAAACAATCTTGGCCATCCAAGTAGGAAAAATCGACGTCTTTGGGCGTGAGAAGTCTTAAAAAACTGACCTTCTATAACCATCCGCTGTTCACCATCACCCTCTAGCATCCATTTCCTCCGCATCTGATGAGTAACTAAGAAATCAACGTAGGAAGAATCAACAAGATGGGATTTTTATGGTTCGACCAGCATAAAGGTAGTGAAAGATAGGTTCTTGGTGGAGAGAATGGAAACTCGATTCAAATTTGATGGAACAGGGGCTGCGATTTCCAGGAGGACGGAAAGGATCTGAGAGAAGCTGAGCAAAGAAACCAGCGGAAGAGAAGTATGTGTTGAGAAGATATTTCCGTTCTTTGGTTGGCCAAAGACAACAAGAATCTACCATAAAACAAGTGCCCACTCGTTTCTTTTATATATAAAAGTAAAAAAAAAATATAACAGTAATAAATATAGAAGCTTGCTATTGGGAAGCTTTTTCATATTGACAATCCGTTCCTAATTACCATCTCCCAAAAAAAAAAAAAAAAAATTTTAATAACTTAATTATCAATCATATTTTTATTTTTACAATAACTTATTTTATTCATCATAATCCTAACTGTATAGATACCGCTCCCTTACTTGGAATCCTAAAATAACTATTAGGAGATGACTATCTATGATCTCCTACTATTATTTATAATCTTATTTTAATTTTTTTAAATATTTTTAATTTTTTATAAATAAATATAAATATATATATTTTTTAGTAATTCTCCTCTTCTTTCTCCTTTCTCCTTTCTCCTTTCTCCTACACTTATAATTGATGACGAGAATGAAATAAGAGGGAAGGAAAAAAAAAATCGACAATCATTGTAAATAGCAAAAAAAAATATTTGAGCACGAGACTATCGACAACAAAGAAATTGTCAATAGTAAAAGGAGGGCTGTAAACAGTTAGTCATGAGACTAGTTGATGAAATTATCAAAATAAAAACACCCCCCCCATTCGGATTCGGGTTGACGTGAATCAACCCACTCCGTTCGTGGGGAGATACCCCGTGGTTGCCACTGGAAACGGAGATCCGACGCGCCGGTCTCGAACGGATCGGTCTGGTGTTTTGGATCAAGGCGGTGAGCTCAACTCAACTCGGTGTTCCTGCAAAAAGAGAAAAATCCACGTTGCTTGGCGTACGGACGGCTCTGATCGCAATTAAATGTGGGAAGGGAAACTGTTGGTCCGGTGATGCGTTCTTGCATACGGGCGGAATAGGTGGCATGGGTTCCCACTCTACCGAACATATGATGTGGGCCATCGTGGCAGCTCAGCACCCTGAAGCATGTCGCTATCCCAGCAGAACCGAGAATGTAGAGATCCCCCCATGTAAGGCGGTTTGGAGCTTGAATCTGGTCGAGTCCCCAACCCGTTCACTCATACACAGCCTTCAATTTTTTAGTTGAGGAATCATCATTGCCTATTTCATAGAATGCCGCCATTAATTAGATAGATAAACAAATTTATGAATAATTCGATAGAATGTTCAGTAAACAAATGAGGTGCAGTTAATTTTAGCTAGCAGCTTACGAGTTAGCGCATGCATTACCGAGGAAGGAGAAGGATCGCTACCTCTGCGACCGTCCGAGTATATCGAAAGATTAAGAAACGGTAAAGGTATCTATATATATAAAGGTACCAGATAAATGATTGATGGGTTGAAGAAGATTAGTAAACGTGATTTTACTGCAAATAGCTCAACAAGTTTAATTCAGAAGGTCTAAAGGAAATAGACACGCTTCACGATCATCTTACATCTGCACATAACACATACTCTTCACATCTTCATCCCAGAGACAAAAAAAATCACCTAGGCTTCAACTTATCCAAGAAAAAAGGTGTCTTTGTTTTCGCATATATTCAGAGTTCTCAACGAGCTTCATGCTATCTAATATTTGAACAAGTCACCCTAAGCAGTTTTACCAGCATTCAGAGTCCTTGAAGATGGTGATTTCTTCAAGGTCTCATAAAAATCTTAGCGGAACATGCAAGGATACTGCTAAGAGCTAATCGTATGCTTTAACCCTTCCTCTTATCGATCAGCCAATTGTAATTGTACCTCGAGTACCTTCGATTTGTTCTCTGAACAGTGTATGACATGTATGATGGAAATATGCCTCTAGTGAACTTAAGGGATAACCCAAATCAGTTGTTACAAGAAAGGAAGGAAATCTTGCTCTCTTCTCTGGGACATGTATCTTCTGATTTAGGATGTGCAGATACAATTTGATCACATGGGATACGGAGTCCAGTCCCAATTTTCACCGACGACAAGTCCTGGAATTCATCACCATTGAGACGGAATACTGTTAAGAGTGCCAAAGCCGCACTAACAACTTCCTTCTTATCTCTACGTGACCATTCATTATCATCACAGTTTTACTAAGACCCAATCCCTCATAAGCGCAAAACTTTTTGATTCCAAAATTCCAAAGTCACACCTGAAAACCTCAGCGGCTTCTTTGTACATTTTTCCAATCTTCCCACCGGCAATGCCATAATTGCAGAGAACATGATAGCTCTCAGTCAGTTCTTCATCATCGGAAAGGAACATCAAATCCTGGCGAAGAAATTAGATAATTTCACTTGGTTTCAGACCGATGCTCTCAAAGAACCGAGACGACATCGCCCTCCCAATGTTCTCCTCGTTCTCTACATTCTTCAAAAGCTTGGAAAGAAAAGAGAGTGCCTGCTCATGTGCTCTGAGTCAGTCAAGTCTATGCCTCTCGTGCCATGAAGGTAATCCATAAGAGTTCCCTGGACCTCGGCGATACCACGAGTAATACGACTACCAGTCTGTGATTCTCCAGAAGCCACATCAGCGCAAAAACCCCTGAAACCAATCAAAGACACGGAATACGGTGATGAATAAGTGCTGCCATGGTCAAATATCGGATTTTTCGTTGAACGAAGTATATTTTTCGTATTAAAGGATGGGTTTTTGGTAGCAAGAACTCTGCTTGTCTCAAAACAACAAAGTGATCTGCTTGGCGATGCAGGGAGTTCCTCCAAACGAAATCGGCGAAGCCATCTGACAATCGAACTTCCAAGGGCGTAATTTGCAGAAAGAACAGAGAACAGAGCCAACAATCGAACTTCCAAGGGCGTAATTTGCAACAAAAAATGGAACGGTTACCTGAACACCCAAGGGATTTGAGCGTCTTCTGCGTTGCACATCTGCTCTTTCTTGCCTCTTCGAGTGTGTACATCCCATATCTCATCTTCTTTTTTAATTTAATCTTAATTTATATTAGGAGGATGTGGGAGCTATGGAAAGATTAAAAAAAACTATAGTAACGAGGGGAATACTGTAGCTACATGATTCCAAAGAAAAGAAGGAGAACAAGATAGAAAAACAAGAGAAAGAAATAGAAGAAGACAAGGATAACGCAGTGAGACTGTTCTCAATCATCTAGCAGTGTTCTCATCTCAGGTTAAATCAAATCTATAGTAAATTTTTACTGTGATTACTTGGGGGAGAATTTAGATATTGTGCACAATAATGTGATCCTTGTATCCTAGTTATTCTCTTGTGATTGTTTCTAAGGTTTTGGCAAAAGATTGATATTTATATATTCATTATTCTCATAGTGGATTATCTTTAGTTTGTCCCGTGATTTTTACCTTTCATATTGGAAGGGTTTTTTACGTATATCTTGGTATTCTATTTGATTATAATTTCGTTTAATTCTGCTGTATGTTATGGCCTGCTAGTATTTGTTCATATACAAAAGTTATTTCACTTTATATCCCATCAACTAGTATTAGAGTAGGGTTGTGGTGATTTAATTTTATATTAGAACATGGAGGCCAATAGTATTTTTCGCATGATTAGTTTAAATTAAAATAATTAGATGATATGGAAACCAAGAATGGAAGATCTCTTGTATTGCAAAGATTTGTATAGATCTTTGTAGGAGGATAGTGCAAAACCTACAACTATGACAGATGATGAGTGGAAGAGCTTAAATCGAAAAATAGTTTGGTTTATTCGATAGTGGCTTGATGATAATGTCTTTCATCATGTTTCTATTGAAATTTTTACATATTCTTTTTGGAAAAAGTTGAAAGTCTCAATGAAAGAAAAACAACTGACAACAAAGTTTTTTTGATAAAAAAAACTTATGAACCTAAAATATAGAGAGGGTGTTTCTATTGCTAAACATTTGAATAAAATGCAGAGTATCACTAACCAGTTATCCTCTATGAAAATGTCTCTTGATGATGAGTTGCAGGCATTGTTCCTTCTCAGTTCATTACTGGAAAGTTGGGAGACACTAGTGGTTTCCCTCAGTAATTTTGCGCTAGATGGTGTTGTCACCATGAGTCAAATAACAAGCAGTTTGTTGAATGAGGAGTTGAGAAGAAAGAATTCAGCAACATCTCAAAATGATTCACATGCACTTATCTCAGAGAACAGAGGAATGTCAAAGTCTAGAAGCAGTTCACGCATGGATAGAAGCAAATCAAGATCAAGAAAAGATATTGTTTGTTATAACTGTGGTGAGAAAGGACATTATAAGAACCAATGCAAGCAACCTAAGAATAGCAAGAAAAAGGAAAAAGAAGTGGAGTCTACAGAGTCAAAAGATAATATCACAACTATAGTGCAGGGTGGTGATTATTTGATTTTGTCTCCTTCTAATGATATTTTTTCTTGTGTGTGTTAGGATCTTGAATTGGTGATTGACATATGTGCTTCTTATCATGCTATACTATAGAGAGAGTTTTTTGCTACATACAAGTATAAAAATTTTGGTGTTGTCAAAATGGGCAACTATGGTATGACAGACATCATTAGTATGAGTGATATCCATTTAAAGACCAACCTTGGCTGCAAGTTGGTGCTTAAGGATATGAGGCATGTCGTTGACTTGAGGTTGAATTTAATTTCAGTTGGAAGGCTAGATAATGAAGACTATGATAGTAGATTTCACAAAGGGCAATGGAAGCTCAGTAAGGGTTCTCTAATTATTATTAGTGGAAAGAAATGTCATACTTTGTACATGTTACATGCTAAAGCTTATGGTGAGTAGTTAAATGCTACAAAGAAAGACTTCAGCATAGAGTTGTGGCATAGACGATTTGGACACATGAGTGAGAAGGGGCTGCAAGCTCTTTCTAAGAGAGAAGTATTATCAGATCTCAAAGATATACATTTGAACCATTGTATTGATTGTTTGGCTAGTAAACAACATAGAGTTTCATTTGCTAGTCCTGCTATGTCTAGAAAAATGCATGCCTTAGACCATGTTTGTACAGATATATATGGTCCTTTGAGGATAAAAACTCTTGGTGGATCTGTTGATGTTCATGGTATAAGTAGTATACTTTATTTTGTTACTTTTATAGATGATTTTTC